ATGTTGGAGATTTACCGATTCAACAGCGAGAAACACAACCAGTCATAAGGAAATGGTGGGGCATAGAAGTAGTGGAGACATGCCCAACTTCTACATAGCTTGGTGGTGATCATGCCGTGAGGACGGTTGGGCAAATTTCAGGGTTCTCTTGTGGCAGACTTTCTGGTAGGGTTGGTGGGATGTTCTAGTTGGCATTCAAGACCTATACAGGAAAGCTGGCATGAAGAGCAGATGTTGCCTTCAAGATCCTACCGGAAATGAAGAACAGGTCCCAAGCCAACGAGATCTTCCAAAAGCCCATGGGTGGGTCTTCTTCCTTCTTCCCTGATGGGGAATTGGGTGATGGCCCTGCTAATGGTACCAGATGGTGAAGTTCAGAAAACAAGATCTGGAGGAGCTTGGCTTAGTCTCTTCTCCTTTAGGCATTGGACTGCAATTTTGTCCTGGTAGCATGAAATGGGTATCTTAAGACAAAAAAAATCCAGATTTAATCCGTTTGGAAACCACCGAATGATCTCTTAAAGACAAAGAAGGGAGAGAGAAGTTAGGCAATATCAGCCTTGTCACCAGGCAGTGTAGTTAGCTGATTGACCAAGGTAACAGTCGCTAACAACACAGCCAAGTGAAGAGGTGGCCCCTCCCTGCAGTTTTGCAATTTGCTCGATGGACTAGTCAACGTCTACAGGTTGAAGAGTTAGAAGCCACCCTGTGTAGGAGAGACCACTGTAAAGGAGTGTTCTTCAACCACAGCGGCTTTATGGAGGGTGGACTTCGGCATAGCTGGCTGGAGAATTCTGGGAATTGAAGTCCACCCACCTTCAAGTCTCTAAATTTGAGAAACATTGTACAAATGAAGATCCGCTTATCCCATCTTGATGTTATCCAAAGCAAGGGCCTCCTCCAACCTTGGCAACTTTAAGACTTGTGGGTTTCAATTCCAAGAGTTCCTCGTGGACTTCAACTCCCAGAATTCCTTGTTGTCTCCCAGAGTTCCTTGTGGACTCCAACTCCCAGAGTTCCTCAGCCAGCAAAGCTGGCTGAGAAACTCTGGGAGTTGAAGTCCACAAGTCTTAAAGTTACCAAGATTGGAGACCCTTGCTCCAAAGTTTTTGAGGCCGCTCTTCTCAACACTGCCTAACCAACTTAACTACTGGAGGGCCTCGGGTTACGGAAAGCTGGAGAGGAAAGGTTTGAGGGATACATTCCTAAGAGTAAGTTTCATCTCAGTCCTCAACTTAATAGGAATTCACTTTCTGATTTATTAACTTTTCATTCATTGAGACTGCCAGATAGGGGAGTAATTAAATTTCTTGTTGATCAATGTGGGTCGTTTACCAGCAATGCTGCGGCTTGACAAGAGTGCTGACAGCCCATAATATTTGGCTGAAGGTCAGTTCCTAGAGGGGCTTGATAAGAACCCAAAAGACAGGAGACTAATGAAAAAAAAATGATGAATTCTGCTTTCTTTCACAGTCAGCCTGCAAAGCAGCAAAAATTAAGGCTACGCGAATGGGAAGAACAAAGGATTTTTTTAAAAAAATGTTTTGGAAAAGGGGGTTTTGTTGAAAAGTTTTGGGATGTTCCCTTCAACATCTCCGTCTATTGTTCATTTGAGATATCTTCCTAATAAAGGCCAACATTAAAAGTATTTCGTGACTTCCTTTCTAAGAAACCATTGTCACCTTGTTTCCCAGAACTTGTGTGTCAACACTCCAACAAATCCACTCCATTCAAATCGTAAGTCTCTAGCCGCATCTCTCAGAGTTAAAAAAAAAAAATGATTTATTAGGAGTGTCCATGTCGGCATTAGCTGGGTGCAGCAGACCCTAAAATACATCCTTCATTTCCTGCTTGACCCTGGTCTTCCCCCCACCCCCGGATGTATATTCTCCAACGGGACACATCCATAGCCAAGAGACATCAATCATGTTCTCCAGTAATATTCTTGTGCTCAGACAACTTTGGGCTGCCAGGGCGATTATCTAGGCACTTAAGGAATGCACTGTTTTTCCCCCACTCCCTTTTTCTGGCCGCTAAAAAGACCAAAGGCGTATCTTTTTAGTTCAGGGGTCTCCAACCTTGGCAACTTTAAGCCTGGTGGACTTCAACACAGCAAAGATGGCTGGGGAATTCTGGGAGTTGATGTCCGCCAGGCTTAAAGTTGCCAAGGTTGGAGACCCCTGTTTTAGTTGACATTGTGAGGATAGGTAAAAGGGGAACGATGTTTTTCAGACTCCTCAAATTATGACTGCTCCCTTAGCGACCATTTGAAGATAAGAGGGACCCCCCCCCCAAAAAAGGAACCTGCGATCCGTGTTTGAGATTATGAAGGCCACCCCTCCCCCCAACCCACAGTTGCACGGTTCCATTTTGGGTTATCAGCAACCAGCCCGTATTTACGGCCGCTTGGAGCATCTCAAAGCCATGTGACTGCAATTTATGATGTGTTTGGTCAAAACTGATGGTTTCTGGCCCCAAAAAGGCCCAATGGCAGACAGTGTGTTCGCTTCGGACTGCCGTGTTCACTTAACCATGGCCGTGAAAAAAAAAAAATATTGTAAAATTAGGCAGGATCCTGTTATGAGCTACAAAATAACTGCCAGAACTTGCAACCGTAATTCCGGGTTCGATTGCCGTTTTAAGTGGAGGACTACTCCTTATGGACCCATGTTCCCAATGGGGCATTCTCTTGTTATTGCTTCTGCTTGGATGGCGGAGGGAGGAGTTTCTGGGATTCGGCATAGATCAAGGGCCTTCAAACTTGGCAAGTTTAAGACTTGTGGACTTCAACTCCCAGAATTCCTCAGCTAACATGACTGGAGGAGGAATTCTGGGAGTTGTTGAAGTCCACCAGTCTGAAGGCTGTCAAGTTTGAAGACCCCTGATCTAGAGTATATATCTGTAGTATATATCTATATATCAAAATATATATTAATATATGTACATAGCTACCTAGCTAGCTACCACTAGCTATTTATATATATCTACATAAAAGATATAGATCAAGGGCCTTCAAACTTGGCAAGTTTAAGACTTGTGGACTTCAACTCCCAGAATTCCTCAACTAACATGACTGGAGGAGGAATTCTGGGAGTTGTTGAAGTTCACCAGGCTTAAAGCTGTCAAAAAGAAAAAACCTGTTTGAGGACCCCTGGCCTAGATCTTCACATAACAATTTTTTTGCTCTCTGAGGAACAGGCAGCCATGATCCAATTTTTCTGGACTCAGAAGAGTTTACCGGAGTTTAAGGTGAAGTGCAACTCAGTCCATGGCAGGGTTTTTTAAAAAGCACACACTGAAAATACAAAAGAGGACATGAGCATTCAGCATTTCCATTAATAGGAAGCATAAGCACATCCGTTTTTATGAAGCAGATACGGGGATCATATCGTTTTCCAAACTGGCTTCTGCAGGATTTGAACAGTTCGTAAAGACTTCAATGGCTTCTGTAGGATTTGTGGGGCCAGGGGGGCTGAATTCCTTGCAAGGGGCCTTAAACTTCCCCCAAAGTACTAAGGAAATAATAATAACAACAACAACAAGAACAATAATAATAATAATAACAACAACAACAACATCAACGTCAACAATATAACATCAGCGTCAACATCAACATCATCAACATCAATAATAATAATAATAATAATAATAATAATAATAATAATAATAATAATAATGGGATCTGCTTGCATAATCCACCAATACATCATGCAGTCCTAAACACTTGGGAAGTGTTCGACTAGTGATTTGTGATATGAAACTCAGCACGGTTATCTTGTTTGCTGTGTATACTGTCATTTTTCTGTATAATAATAATAATGAGGAGGAGGAGGAGGAAGAAGAAGAAGGAGAAGAAGAAGAAGGAGAAGGAGAAGGAGAAGGAGAAGGAGAAAGAGGCCTGAATGCATTCAGCCACCCACTCTCTATTGCTACGGAGGCAATAATCTAGAGTGATGATTGTCAACCTGAGCAATTTGAAGACACCGGTGGACTTTGATGCCCTGAATTCCTCAGCTGGCAGTGTTCCTCCACCTTCGCAGCTTAGTTGACAGGTGAGAGAAGGTTGCCAACCTGGGCCATGGGGTGCAAGCGATCGTGGATGAATCCCGCCAAGCAAAAGCCAATGATTTTTTTTTTAAAGGATGTTGAGACTCTAGAAAGAGTACAGAGAAGAGCAACAAAGAATATTAGGGGACTCGAGGCTCAAACATACGAAGAACGGTTGCAAGAATTGGGTATGTTTTGATGAAAAGAAGGACTAGGGGTGACATGAGAGCCGTCCTCCAATATTTGAGGAGCTGCCCCAGAGAGGAGGAGGAAGGGGTCAAGCTATTCTCCAAAGCACCTGAAGGCAGGAGAAGCAGCAATGGGTGGAAACTAACCAAGGAGAGAAGCAACTTGGAACTAAGGAGGAATTTCCCGGACAGTGAGAACAATTCACCAGTGGAACTGCTTGCCACCAGAGGTTGTGGGTGCTCTGTCATTGGAAGAGATCACTGGAAAGCCGTGTGTCTGAAATGGTAGAGGGTTTCCTATTTGAGCAGGACATTGGACTAGAAGACTTCCAAGGCCTTCTAGTCCTTGGTATAGAATAACAGAGTTGGAAGGGACCTTGGAGGTCTTCTAGTCCATCCCCCTACTTAAGCAAGAGACCCTCTGCTATTTCAGACAAAGAGTCGTCCAATCTCCTCTTGAACACTTCCAGTGTTGCTAAAAGGAAGGGAGGGAGGGAGGATGGAAGGGAAGAAGGAAGAAAGGATAGCAGAAGAACAATGAGAGAAAGGGAAGGGACCTTCGAGGTCTTCTAGTCCACCCCTCTGCTCAAGCAGGAGAGCCCCTGCCGTTCCAGCCGGGGTCTGTGATTCTGCCTCTCCCAGCAGCCGCCCTCCCCCCCCTCCAGCCCCTCCCCGTCGGGGGCTCCAGGCAGCGGCGCCCGCGGGCGCCTCCGGAACGGCCAACGGCTGGGCGGGCCAGCGGGCGCGGCGCGGCGCGCGGGAGCCATGGAGACCCAGCGGCCGCGCTCGCCCACCCCGTCGGCCATGGCCAGCAGCTCGCCGCCCGCGCCCGCCACCTCGCCCTCGCCCTCGGCCGCCGCCGCCGCCCCCGCCCCGCTGGCCTTCGCGGGCTCCAGCGAGCAGGACGTGGCGCTGGCCAAGTCCTTCTGGAACTCGGTCACCCTCCAGCCGCCGCTCGAGTCCCGGCTGGGCGCGCGGGGCAGCTCGCTGTGCAACGGCGCCTCCTGCCCGCGACGGAGCTCGGCCGGTAGCCTGGGCGGCGGGACGGGACGGGGAGGGACCCTCCGGCCCCCGGGGAGAGCCGGCTCCACGGGCTGACCGAAGGACGGAGTTGGAGGGGCGGGGGGGGGGGGCTTGGAGATCTTCTAGTCCGACCCCTGCTCGTGCAGGAAACCCGGCGCCGTTGCAGGCAAAGGGTTGGCCCGTCTTTTCTCCGGTGATGGAGAAGGAAGGAAAAGGAAGAGGGAAGGAAGGAAGGAAGGAAGGTTAAAGAAAAAAGGAGGGAGGAGAGAGAAGGGGAAGGGAGGAGTGGGAAGGAGAGATAAGGAGAAGGAAAGAAGGAAGGTAAAGGAAAAAGGGAGGAGAGAGAAGGGGAAGGAAGGAAGGGTGAAGAAAAGGGAGGGAGGAAGGGAAGAAGGAGAGGAAAGGAGAGATAAGGAGAAGAAAAGAAGGAAGGAAGGGGGAGGAAAAGGGAGGGAGGGAGGATAGCAGAATAACACAGATGGAAGGGACCTTGGAGGTCTTCTAGTCCAACCCCCCCCCCCAATGTAGGAAACTCTATACAGTTCTAGACAATGGTTGTTTCCAATCTCTTCTTAAAAACCTCCAGTGATCAGGAGGTAGGGGAAGGAAGGAAGGAGGGAAGGAAGGAAGGAAGGAAGGAAGGAAGGAAGGAAGGAGGGAGGGAGGGAGGGAGGGAGGGAGGGAAGGAAGGAAGGAAGGAAGGAAGGAAGGAAGGAATGAAAAGAAGGGATGAGAGAGGAAGGAAGGAAGGAAGGACGGAAGGAAGGAAGGCAAGCAGAATTACAGAATAACAGAGTTGGAAGGGCCCTTGGAGGTCTTCTAGTCCAACCCTCTGCTCAACTTAGGAAATCTCATGCCATTCCAGACAAGTGGCTGTCCAATGTGGTGCTTCTTCTGCTTAGCCTCCGTTCTCTTTGCACTGAATTTCCCCTTCTGGTTTGGAGGAGTTCCTTTTCCTCGGTCCCCCCTTCAATGCCGCCACACACACACACACACGCACACACACACACACCGGAATTTCCCCCTAGGAATTGGCCTGCATTGCAGGGGGGGTGGTTATAGCACCTGGGATCGAAATGTCTATGGAGGTTGTCCATTAATGTGGACCTTCTTCAGCTAATGTTGAAAAGCCACCTCACAAAGGAGAATCTCAATTGGTGATTTCAACCCATTGCAATATTTTTATTTTATTTCTTTTTTTTTTAGCGAAAACCAGCCATTTGTCTGTTTCATCCTCAGTGAGTGACAGTAAGTATGCAGTTTTTACCAAAATGGACATTTTGGAGGGTGCCCTGATATTTATCGTAATAGAATCTGAAGCCAAACCACTGAACGCCTAAAAATCCTCGTAAGAGGCGTGCCCTGAACGCCAACCAAGGGATGCCAATCACAACTGGTGCCAATCAATTGATTCAGTCCTATACGTGACCTGGTAGGTGATCTTGCCCCAAGCAGCAAATGGAAAGGGTAGCATTTCTAATTGGCATTATTAAAAATCAGCAACAAATAAACGTATTTTTATTGCAAGAACACAGAGCAGAGGAAATACACCTCTCGGGTATCTTCCTGCAGCTGAGATTCCTATATTGCTGTAACTTGGCCCCTTTAAGGACTTGTGGTTTCAACTCCCATAATTCCCGAGCTAGCATGGCTGGCTCAGGAATTCTGGGAGTTGAAGTCCACAGCTCCTTAAAGGGGCCAGAGTTACTCACCTCGGCTCTAACCCAAAATACAATTTGTTGTTTTTGACTAAGCTGGATATGTACAACCGGAAAACCACACCTTATTCAACCAGCTGTACATAAATATCATGTGTAAATCTGGTCAGGAAACTTTCCAAGTTTGTGAATTGTCTGTTGTTTAAGCTAATCGTTGCAGTTCACTTTGTTGACTTAAAATATTTTTTCTCTTGCTTTTTGATTTTTTTTTTTAAAGGATGAGATCATTGGGAACAAAAATGGAAAACTTAACTTTCTGCAAGTCTTTTTAGCAATAGAATACTTTATTGGCCAAGTGTTGACTGGCCACACAAGGAATTTGTCTTGGTGTAAATACTCTCAGTATTCATAAAAGAAAAGATACATTCATCAGGAGTCGAAGAAACCCTGTTCTTCCTTTTAGCTGTCCTTCTTGTTCTTCCTTTGGGCTAACTTATGCATCCAATGTCCCTCAATATCTTTGTTACTATAATTAAAATAAAAATAGTTCTTAGTCCAGAAAATCAGGAGTCTGGCAGCACCTTTTCAGACTACTAACCAGCAAGTCACAAAAAACAGTGCCTTTTTTCTAAAGGGCTTCTGATTTGGGGTTGCTGTAGATTTGTCGTTACAAATCCCACATCCAGAGTTCAGCTTGAAAAATGATGAAAAATGATTTATTTATTAAACTGAATTTTAAAAGATTTCTTTGCAAATGATTGTTTAGGAAGAGAAGAAGAGAGGCACTCGGAAACAGAGAAAGATGTGTGGAAAGAGCACTGCCTAGAGAAGGTGAGCGAATTTAGCTGCTTTTCAGAACTAGCTCCAATTCTAAATTTTACTTTTTGGGAATTCTAGACCATCCATGACTTAAAAACCATTTGTTTCATGACCACTCGAAGTTACAGCGGCGCTGGAAAAAGTGACAGATAACAGATAACAAATAATCAGAGTTGGAAGGGACCTTGTAGGTCATCTAGTCCAACCCCTATAGGGTCATGTCCTATCCACTTTTGGGACCTTTTGACCAGCAAAAATCAACAAGGGAGCCAAATTCACTTAACAACTGGGTTACGAACGCAAGAACTGTGGAGGTTCACTTAACAACCGTGGCAGGGAAGGTCATAAAAGAAGGCAAAATTCACTTAGTAACGGTTTCGCTCAGCGACGGAGATTTTGAGCTCTGTTTTGGTCACGTTCCTTGGAGCTTTTGGGGAAGAGGGTTAGAATTTCAGAGCCTTGTATGCAAGCCGATATTTCTAAAGAGGGGAGAAAGCTGCCAGGGCTCTTCCGTGCTCTGAAAATCAGCACAAGGTTTTCCATTCTTTGGGGCACCGAGCACTCTGGCTGATTATCTCCTTCAAGAAAGGAGCTGAGATGATTAGATTGCATTGTAAATCCGAGAGAAAGGAAGATTTGTCAGCCATTCAGACCAGAAATATAAAAAGGGCAGGAGAATTGACATGGCTTCCATGGGGCTGGTGCCAGCAACGGCCCTGCAAGAAAAAGTAAGGGGGGGAATTGTTTTTATAATGCAGGATCATAGATTGGTAGAGATATAGTCCTACAACCACCATTGAACTGAACGTTTCCGTTGCTAAGTGAGTTTTGCCCCATTTTAGACCTGCTTGGTTCAGAGGTGGGTATTCAGCCGGTTCTGACCAGTTCTGGAGAACCAGTAGCGGAAGTTTTCAGTAGTTTGGAGAACCGGCCAATCCCACCTCTGACTGGCCCCGCCAACCCCATCTATTCTCTGCCTCCCATTGAGTCCCAGCTGATTGGCTGGGTCTCCTTTGGTTGCCCTGCCCAGGAGAACGGAGCTGGAAAGCAGGTCAGTGGGTGGGGAGGGAATGGGGATTTTGCAGTATCCTTTCCCTGCCATGCCCACCAAGCCACACCCACAGAACCAATAGTAACAAAATTTGAATCCCACCACTGTTGTAGTTGTGAGGAAGTTCAGAGGAAGATCCAGGCCATCCCGTCTTCATCCTTCAGTAGGGAGGAATGGAGAAGGGAGCAACGTGGGTGATGTGGCTTACAGGGGAGGAAAGGGCCCTGATTCCCTTCATTAGCCACAGCTGGGAAGAGAGTTTAAAAGAGATGCATGCTGAGTGCGGCTTCTGCTGGGAACAAATGTGAGCTTATCTTGTGTTGACTTTGATTATCTGTGTTCCTGGAGTCTTCCCAACTGTGTTGAGTTATTGCTGTGCCTTCCCATCTGGAAAGCCTTCGCTTGCCCTGCTGGACTAATTATCTCATCTTGTCTTGATTGGACTTACAGTTTTTGTTGACCATGTTTTGGACTTGATTCTCTGCAGCCAAAGGCTGTTCTTGGGAGAGTTTTTCTCCAGCCCAGAAGGTAACCAGGACATGGAGGCAAAGTTGGAACTAATAAAGGGACTCCTACTTATTATCCGACTGTGTGGCCTTTGTGCCACGCCCCCTTGGGTCATCACAATAGGCCTCCAAGGAATGGGGAAAATGCCAAATTGAACGTCTCTTCCGGAAACCTGTGCCATTTCTAGATTTCTTGGACTCTTGTTCTCGATAAAAGATGCTGCAGACATGACGGGAAAGCAACCCTGGTCTACGAACCCTCACGGACAAACCCATTAGTTCTGGTTTAATTAACTCCCGGGGTCCAGTGTGGGAACCAAAACATCTTTGGCCTTTGGGCTCACCGCCATATAAATAAATCATTACGTCGATCGATAGGAGTAAATAGCGTGCCTCTCCGGCTAATTCACATCGTGTTACCACAGTCTGTGAAAGTTAAGAGCTACATTAATACAGTCTTAAAGGATTTATCTTCCTCTTTTTTTCTCCCCCCCGTCATGATGTCTTGTTAAAAGAGGAAACGCTTTGCCGAGTAAGCATGGGAACAGAGCCAGAAGCAGCCAGGCCCTAGGAAAAGCCGAAATGTGCTGAGCTTTGCACTGGCTGCCAGCAAACCGGCATTCATATTCGTGGCGATTAATAACCCCCTAATGGATTTGATTCCAGGGCCGTCCATTAGACCTGGCTCAGAGAAATGGGGTTATCTGGAGAAGGGAGTCTACTCTTCAAACTCGGCCGCAATTTCTCTTAAATAATTCTCGAAGAAACGAGGGCAAGGTTGCTCGTTTCATCAACCAGTTTAAAAGTAAAGATTGCTAGCTTGCAGTCCTGTGCGTTTGGCCTGGGCACCCCACTTAATTCCTAAATTCATCCGTCTTTCCTAGGACTAAAGCCCTAATCGGCTTGCACGGATCTCCCCTCATCCAAATGGAGTTTAATATGGATCCAGATTATTATCCCGGAGGCTTTATAACCAGCTGATAAATTCAGAATCTACAGGAGGTTAGGGTTCACCTTTGAAGGGCGTAGATGGTCTTTGGTGTCTGATGGGGTAAACCCCACGCGTTGGTTATATACTGGGGTACGAGACGTGGTTATACTCAGTTGTTGGTTGCACAAATCTCAGCTATGCTTCTCATCCTCGGCCGCCTGAAGATGTGTGGACTTCAATTCCCAGAATTCCCCAGCCAGGGGCTCTAGATCAGCATGTCAGAACTCTCATCCTGAGCTTCAGCTTTGCTTTGCTAGATGCCAGCCTGCCCTAGACGGGAGTGAGGGGGGGAGAGTTGCTGGGAAAAGGGAAAGTGAAACTACTCATTGTGCCTTCCTGAGATGTCGCCTCATCGTCCCAAGGCCCGAGACCTGGCAGGGGAATGCAACGGTTTTCCATCTAGCCTGCCGACGCAAGCAACCTTACCAAAACAATTCCTTTGAGCGCAACTGGACAATAGAGAGATAACAGGGAGCAGAAACAGAAAGGACAAGTTAACTGGGGAAACTTTGCGCGCAAACTTCTAATTCTGGCTTTGCTGTACTGTCACCATTTGCCTCCTCGGTAAAAGTATACCTTTCGCACACATGGAATCGAGAGCCCAAGTCAGGGCAGGTGTGACACAGCATTTCTCAACCTTGCTCGCTTGAAAATGTGTGGATTTCAACTCCTAGCCTGCACGTCCGCACTTCTCCAAGCAACCAAGAGGGAGAAAGGCTTGACTCTCAGGAATTAGCCAATCCACCCACCTCCTCCTCACCGTGGCAAACATCTTTCTTTACAGGCTAAAACGAGAGAAGACATCATTGCATTACTGAAAAAACAAAGAGAAGAGCGGATATCGGTAAGATGGATTTTTAAATTGTCCAAACCTCCCTCTCCCGAGAACCAAGCATTGCTTCCTTGCTTAACTTTCCTCTCTCATTTCTTCCCTACTGCCAGCTTCAGCATGTAACACAAAAGAAAGAATAAAGCCAGGAATGCTATTGAAATTTGGCTGGTTGAGTAGCCAGGCTGTCATTCAGACCTCCATAAAGCTGGAAAGGATGCCAGAAGCCTGGCACGAGTCTAGATGGTTCTGCTCCTCAGGGAGCTTTGTGGAAAGAGAGGATTGGACAGAGTTATTTAAAGGGGATGATTGGTGGGGAGAAACCACCTTAATTATATGGAGCAGGAAAGAAGATATTTGGTACATATTTAGCTCAATTGACTAGAATCTGTCAAGGACCGTTTCATCCCATTTCTCATTCTTCCCATCTTGAATCTGTTTCACCAGGGTTCTTCCTATATTTCTGATTTTTCATCTCTCTCTCTCTCTCTCTCTCTCTCTCACGCACACACACACACACAGGACAGTTCCTCAACATTTTGGGGAATGTTCTGCTTTGCGTGTTCTTCTTTTCTAACCTGTTAATGGTGTTGTGTATTTAAAGCGGTTAATCCAACTGCAAAATTCAAATCCATGGGAATTACCCACGAGAGAATATTTGTAGCTCAGGGCTGAACTGTGGGGTGCTTGATGTTCTCTGAGCTTGGTGTTTGTCTTGCAGATATTTCAATGCCCAGCTAGGTAACATCATCAGCGCTAGAAGGGAAGGGGCTTTGCAAAGAGGAGAAGGAGGAGGACTGTGGGGTCCTTGATGCTCTCTGAGCTGGGCGGTTTCCTTGCAGATGTTTCATTACCCAACTGGGGAACAAAAGCAGTGCTAGAAGGAAGCGGGGTTTGTATCCAGGACCCCACAGAACACCCATAAATTTTGGGCTGTTCTTTCCCACCCTGCAAAAGGACAGTTTAAAATGGCGAAGTTTTTAACAGCATTTTTTTTTCCCCTTTCTCAGAAAGAATCCTTATCTCGTGCGCACAAGCCAAAGGGCAAAGGGCCACCAAGGTAATATCAGGAAGAAAAGTTTCTCCATTCCTGTTTCTTTTAGTTTTGGGTGGTCCTGATTGTAAATAAACACTTATATCATTTTGAAAAGGTGTGATTTTTTTTCCCCTTTTCTTTCCGCCTTTTTTTAATTTCAGGGACCAGGAAGACAAAAGGTAAATCTCCTGTCCGGCTTAGAATTATTTCATGCAAACCAGAGAAAGAACCGCACGCCAAAGAATTCCTGGAATTAAAGAGGAGCCAAATTGTCCAGGTTTTTTGCCCAAGAAATCGACATGGGCTCTCCATACATTCAGAGATGATGTTGCCTTGTCACTTTTAAAATTACACCTCTGAAAAAGCTGCTTTGTCCCCTTCCACTTCTCCTCTCTGCGGTTTCTGCCTTTCATGTGTTAATGGCTAGCATTTTTCTCAAGTATGACAACCTCCAGCCCGTGGGGAAATGCCATTTGAAACCCATTTTTTACAGTAGGTGAGGTGCTTATTCAAATCTTGGGCGTTTCTCTTGACTCCAGTTGTTTCCCTGAGTTACTGGTGACAACCCTGATCTATCCACAGTTAGACTCAGAAACGAGCAAGTGAGCCTTGTGGAAATTACTTGCTTAGGTGTGATTTGTCATCCGACAGGTTTTCAAGAGCCTGCCAGTTCTCCCCATCAGCCTGCAGGGTTTTTCCAATCGATTCCTGTTAACTGAGAAATCCTCTTTAAAAAAAAAATGCCAGAATATTTTACAGAGTAAAAAGTAGCCAAGCTACATGGAGAATCTCACTCTGCAATGACCCCCTTTTTCCTGGTCTTTCTTAATTTTGAACTAACAGAACAAATGCTGCGCTTCCGTGTCTTAAAACTACCGTAGCTGCATTTGAGATGGGATGGTCCCCTACCCAAGAGACGGGAGGGCTGCGCCCCTAACACAATTAGAGTCTAATCAGTTCCTCTTATAGGCCAGGTTTTGAGCCTTTCCAAGCTACTGAGAGAATATTTGTAGTTTGGGGTTGAACTGTGGGGTCCTAGGTGCTGCCTGAGCTTGGTCGTTTTGCAGATGTCTCATGACCCAACTGAGTAACGTCATCAGTGCTAGAAGGGAGTAGGTGTTTGTAAAGTTGAGCAGGAAGAGGAGGAGGAAGAGAAGAGAAGTTGAGGGACTATGGAGTTCTTGGTGCTGCCTGAGCTTGGTGGTTTTGCAGATGTCTCATGACCCAACTGCGTAACGTCATCAATGCTAGAAAGGAGTGGAGTTTGGAAAGGAGGAGGAGGAAGAGGAGAGGAGGAAGAAAACTTGGGGCACTAAAGAGTTCTTGGTGCTCTCTGAGCTTGGTGGTTTTCTTGGAGACGTCTCATTACCCAACTGAGTAACATTATCAGTGCAAGAAGGGAGTGGGGTTTGTAGAAAGGAGGAGGAGGACTGTGGGATCCTTGGCGCTCTCTGAGCTTGGTCGTTTTCTTGCATGACCCAACTGGGTAACATCATCAGTGCTAAAAGAGAGTGAATTTTACTTTCTATTTATAGACAGTAGCTTGCCTGACAGTGTTGCTGGGCGTGTTCAAGCATTCAAATAAGCAGAGATTATACCAAGATTAACTGCACCAACAATCAAGCAACAAACAATACCCCAATCAAGAAATTACCAGGCCGGACAAACAAATCAAAGAAGTAAACAGCAGTCTAATCAAGGAACCCCCAAGAATATTTCCAGCCATACCGACAGGGCAAAGCCACCCGTGTATAAAAATAAGAGCAAACTCCACTCCCACCTAGCACCAATGATGTTACCTAGCTGGGTCACGAAATGTCTTCGGGGAAAACCACCAAGCTCAGGAAACACCAGGGGACTCCAATTTTCCAAGCTGCGGGATGCTTTGAGGTTGGAGATTTTCCTGCTGGCATGGGGGGGAAGGAGGTGGGAAGGGTTCCTAATGACTTCAGGGTGTTCTTAATTCCTTTTTTCTTTGTTGTTCCAAAAGGGAGAAGGAAGAACAGTCTGAGGATGAAGCGAGCGTAAAGGCGCTACCTTGAGGATCCCGATCAGGGACACCAAACGTAGAAAGCTTGTTTGTATTTTCAGCCGGCCTGTCCTTGGTCTTTGACAGCGGCTGTGGCTCATTGTTGATGTAGTCCGCCCCCTCCCCTCCCCCTGGACTTCTCCGCATGTTGGACAGACTAGCTCTCCGCAGGGCTGGGTGGCCCTTTTGGCAACCGTTGCCCCGTGAGATTTTGACTCCTGCGCAAGAGATCTCTGAAGAAATATTCCACGCGTTAATTCAACACCGGCCTGACGAGACGGGAATGTCTTGTTTGCTCTTCACGGCGACGTTTCTATCACCGCTTCCAGCATTCGTGTTTCGTTTTATATGATTTATTCATTTTTTGTCTTTTTTAGAGCCCCATCTGGGGACTTGAATTTCCAGGATACTCAGCCAGCAGGAGGAATTCGAGAGCTCCCAGACCCCTGGCAGGCACCGGGGGGAGGGGGGGGGAGAAAGGGGGAGGAAAAGCTGGCTCCCATCTTAGTACAGCGTGTCACGTTTTGCAGAAGCAGCCTCGCTGCGCTCGATTCTGAGTAAAATGGAATAGCGTGCTAAAAACAGCCGGCTCTTTCGCAACGCGCCCGAGACTGCCCGGTGAATTTCTGCTTTTCGGCCTCCCGGTTTCCGTCTGGCCTTTTGACATCCATGCGCTGAGATGAGTTCGCCGGAGCTGAATCCCTTCCCTTGTTTCCGCGGCATGCAGGAAGTGGTGCCACCCGTTGCCAGAAAAGGCTTGCTGTGTTGCGGTGGTGGTTTTGGCGGGTTTTTTTCTCTCCTTCTCTTCCAACTTTCAAAAAATTGGCCTTAAAAGAGGTTTTGTTTTGTTTTTGTGTTTTTGTTTTTTGCACTTTGAGTTGTGTGGAGGGAAAAACATCCGGGCCGAAAGATGCCACTAAGCCCTCCCTGTGTCAATAAAAGGAATTGCTCCTGTAATTTAGCTTGTTTTAACTGGGGTGTTCAACCCAAATTCAGAGCTCTCGGTTAACCAAAATGTCTCGCCCGTAAGCCAGGAGTTTTCTGGCTGGTGATGGGTTGTCCTGGGATGGCCAGTAGATGCCTGTCATGAGGAACAGCTGACAGGGAGTGGGAGTGTGGCTCCGTTGGCTGTGGAGGAAACTGGGGAAGGGCACGGTCCGGCTGGGCAGAGCAGGGGAGAGGTAGAACAAGGGAGAGGGAGTTCAGAGGAAGACCCAGGCCCACCCCCTCTTCATCCTAGGGCACGCAGGGAGGAATGGAGAAGGGAGCAACGTAGGTTGCGTGGCTTACGGGGGAGGGAAGGGCCCTGATTCCCTTCACAAGGCACACCTGGGAAAGAGAGTGTAAAAGAGATGCATGCTGAGTGTGGTGTCTGCTGGGAACAAACATGAGTTTATCTTGTGTTGACTTTGCTTATCTGTGTTCCTGGCATCCTCCCAACTGTGTTGAATTGTGGTTGTTCCTTCACATCTGGAATTATTGCTCCTGTCCTGCTGGACTAATGACCTTATTTTGCCTTGATTGGACTTACAGTTACAGTTTTGTTGGCCACATTTTGGACTTGATTCTCTGCAGCCAAAGGCTGTTCCTGGGAGTTTTTCTCCAGCCCAGAAGGTAACCAGGACATGGAGGCAAAGTTGGAGCTAATAAAGGGACTCGTACTGATTATCTGACTGTGTGGCCTTTGCGCCGTGCCCCTTTGGGTCATCACAGTGCCACTGGCCCAGTATCTGAAGGATGGCTGAGAAGCTCATTCCAACAGGCTAAAGGCCCACAATTCATCCCGGGATCCCTACTTATGGCTGCAAAACCTAGACTCGGGAAAAGGCAGGTAGGAAAAAGGGCCTTTGAACTATGGTGCTGGAGACAACTATTATGCATCCCACAATAATCCCAGAAATAACAAACAGAAGAAGTCCTAGACCGGACCGCACCAAAAATATCACCTCGAAGCCAAGATTGCCACAGAAGCTGTCATACTTTCGCCATGTCCTGAGAGCTGACTCACTCGAAAATGCAAGTCACGCCAGGAGTGATCAGCAGAAAAAGGGGAAGAGGCTGCCCTGGCACCCATGGGCTGGGCACTAATCCTTTATAGTGCCAGGATGACCCTGGCAGATCTGAAGGAGGAAATCAGATCTGAGAGGCATGGAGAGTGGTGATCCATAGTGTGGCTGAAGATCAGACACGACTGAATGGAATTGTTCTGACCCAAGCCTTGTTCAAATCAGACAAACACAACGTAGGTATAAAAGCAAACTTTTTAAATGTGGCGCTGTGAATTCTGTGCATTCACAGCCAAGATTCATTCAAAACTAATTGTCCCAGATAAGAGCCAGCCCTTTCAAGGTTGTGCAAGGTTGCCAAGAACAAAAGACTAATTGCAGATAAATATCCCAAGCCAGAAGTCTCAAAAAAACAAACTGGAGTAAGCAGAGCTTCAATGAGGCCTTTGAGTTGAAAGAACTTCTTTGCTTCCTGCAAAGAAACCAACCCCAAAGGCTGGCTTTTATCCCTTGTAGGTCATCTAGTCCAACCTTCTGCCCAAGGAGGAGACCCTACATCATTTCTGACAGATGGTAGTCCAGTCTCTTCTTGAAAGCTTCCAGGGATGAAGCTCCCACAACTTCTGAAGGAAACTTTGTTCCATTGGTTGATGGTTCTCACTGTCAGGAAATTTCTTCTTATTTCCAGGTTAAATCTCTCCTGGTTTAGTGTCCATTATTCCTTGTCTGACCTTCAGGTGCTTTGGAGAATAGCTTGACCCCCTCCTCCTCTCTGTGGCAGCCCCTCAAGTATTGGAAGGCTGCTATCCTGTCTCCCCTGGTCCTTCTCTTCCCTAGACTAGCCAGGCCCAGTTCCTGCAACCGTTCATTGTATGTTTTAGTCTCCAGTCCCCTCATCATCCTGGTTGCTCTTCTCTGCAGTCTTTCTAGAGCCTCAACATCTTTTTTATAGTCTGGTGACCAAAACTGGATGCAGTACTCTAGGTGTGGCCTTACTAAGGCTTTATAGAGTGGTCTTAGTACCTCCCTTGATCTTGATTGTATCCCTCTGTTAATGCAGCTTAGGATTGCGTTGGCTTTTTTGGCTGCCGCTGCCCACGGCTGGCTCCTATTGTTTGATCTGCCACAGTGCCTAGTTCCTCTTTTCCTGACATCGGGCGTCACTTGGAGGCCCGTTTCTGTCAGTCAGCAGGAACTGGAGTCAGATTTTGCTGTGTTGCTCGGGAAGGAATGAGTGTGCAGGCGTCAGTGTGCACATGCGCTCACGGATAACGCCACACCCCCTCCTCCAGCTTCATAAATCAGAAAGCCATTTAGGAAATTGCTGGTGCAGCTTCCAGGGAACGGCAGGCCAGGTTGGAAGAGGAGTTGGAATCGTTCGAGTCCAGCCTTCCAAGAAATCCCTCCACCGTTAACAGAGAAACGAGATGAAGCACGCATTCGTCACGGCTTCCTCCGCAGCATCACAAGATCACAACACCCGCAACCAGAGTTTTGACAGTACAGGAGAGCAGTTTCATCCCGATGCACACCATTTATTGAGCTTTTCAAGCTCCGGGTAGGCCAACCGTAGGTCCATCCAAGACAAGAAAAGTTTCGGAAGAAAACAGAACGTTTAATTCCAGCAACACATGCTAAATTTGTGGCGGTTCAGGAAATAGTCAGGCAAGGGAAGGGCTTTTGTGGCTCCCGGTGTTTTCTGTGGGGTTCAAATGGCTCTTTGTGTTCTGACCCAGGCTTCATCAAACTTAATAAGACACCAAGTGAATTTAAAAGTCAAACATTTTTTCATGTGATGCTGGGAATTACTTGAATTCCCAGCTAAAACTCACTAGACACAGTTCCTCCAGATAAGAAGAGCACACTTTCCAGTGCTGTTAAATTCTTTCTTTCTTTCTTTCTTTCTTTCTTTCTTTCTTTCTTTCTTTCTTTCTTTCTTTCTTTCTTTCTTTCTTTCTTTCTTTCCTCTTCTCTTCTCTTCTCTTCTCTTTTTTCTCTCTTTCCCTTCCTCCCCCTCCCCTCTCTCTTTCCTTCCTCCCTTCTTGTTGGATTTCTATTCCTTCCTTCCTTCCTTCCTTCCTTCCTTCCTTCCTTCCTTCCTTCCTTCCTTCCTTCCTCCTAAAGAGTCATTTAGCCTTCCATCTTTCTGAGGTGGGTAAAATGAGGACCCAGATAGTTGGGGCCAAGACGCTGACTATGTCAACCTCTTAGAGAGGGCTGTCAAGCGCTGTGAAGCAGAATATAAGTCTAAGGGCTGTTGCTATTTCTGCCTGCCTGCCTGCTTAGAGAGGGCTGTGAAGCGGTCTATAAGTCTATTCCTTCCTTCCCTTCTTCCTTCCTTCGTTTTAGAATGCAGTATTGCAGGCTAATTCTGCCCATTGCTAGGAGTTCGATCCTGACCGACTCACGGTTGACTCAGCCTTCCCTCCTTCCGAGGTCGGTAAAATGAGAACCCAGATTGTTGGGGGGGGCAACAGGCTGACTCTGTAAACCACTTAGAGGGGGCTGTAAAGCCCTGTGTAAGTCTAAGTGCTGTTGCTATATCTGTTTTATATATATGCACAGACACACACAGGCCATGGGAAGGGAAGCCTCCATCCGTTGGGCTGCTCCGTCCCAACCCCGAGGCCACAATAGCACGTTTGCAGCTGGACTCCTTTCCTTCCTCACCCCAGCTGGGCATCTGGGAAGCTGTTTCCAAGCCAACATGAGCGGAAAGTTGGCTCAAAATCTGGGAAGCTCAACCGGTTCCAGCTTCCCAGCGCTCAGGAAACCAGGAGAGAAAAAAACGTCCCGTCAGCATCTGGGCAGGAGCCGATCCTGCGAAGGGAGCTTTCCGTATGCATTTCCCTCTGTTTTTTCCCCCCAAGTCAAATCTGGCCAACGGCCCCTGCCTGTTCCAGGAGCTCTTGAAAAGATGCAGATTTATGGCTGCTGGGGTGGGTTGCTGTTGTTTTTTTTCTCAACCAAGTTTTCTGGATTCGGACAAGACGATGAACCGTGGTTTAAGCAGATCGGTTCTTTTCAGAGCAAAGCAAAAATGTGATTTGATTGTGCTGGCAGAACTAAAAAGGACTGTACATGGCTTTGTTGGACATACACACATACACACACAAACACAGACAAAAACACAGAGATCTCTGCTCAGTGGGAGAGGAAGAGAGCCAGTTCACAACGCACTTTGGGATTCAGTTCTTTGCACCAATCACCTGTTTGAAAAAACGGTCTCAGTTCCCAGCCCCTGTTTGACCCAGGTTAGTCCAGCCCTGGGTCCCAACTGGGACCGAAATATGATGGTGCCCAGATCTTTTGCAGGTTGCTTTAGACTCTCCACTTATCCCATTGCAGTTCACACCCCCGGCTTTCTCAGCCGAAGAATTTGCACAAATAGGGTTAACCTTGGCTGAGTTTTATTTTGGCAAATGTGATTTACAGAGTATGGTTGAACCAGTTGGCAATCCAGGGTTCTATGTGAGTTCAGTGAAGTGAACCAGGGTAACAGAAACTGGGTGAGACTTGCTGGGTTCCTTCACACATCCAGCACATGGATTCGTCACTGGCTGACCAAACGCACTCAACTTGTAGCCCTTAATGGAACTGCATCTACATGGAGGGAAGTATGCAGTGGCGTACCCCAGGGCTCTGTTTTAGGCCCAGGATTCTTCAACATCTTCATCAATGATTTGGATCTATCCCCACACATAATATCCCCTCATATAATAGGGATGTGCATAAGTGCACCATCGTGCTTACCATCCCTGTCCTATTGTCCCCATTTATTCATACCCATTTCCTGTATTCTTACTCATGTTTATCCTTATACCTGTTATCTTGTAAGTGATTGACAAAAATCAAATAAGTAAATAAAACAAATAAATAAAACCCATCAAATAATTTGCAGATGACACCAAGCTGGCAGAAATAGCCAACACTTGAGAAGATAACGTTGGGCACTATCTAACAAAATGAAATTTAATGGTCAAAAAAGGAAGGTTCTATATTTGGGCAACAGAAACAAAACGCCCAGGTATGGCATAGATGGTGCCTGGCTCAATAGGAGTAACCGTGAGAGGGATTTTGGAGTCCTAGCGGACGATCATTTAAACAGGAGTGTGCAGCACTGTGCATCAACTGCCCAAAAAAGTCAACACCCTTCTAGGCTGCATTAACAGAGGGATAGAATCAAGATCACGTGAAGTGTTATTAATACCACTTTGTAAGGCCTTGGTAAGGACACACTTGGAATACTGCAGTTTTGGTCGCCACGATGTAAAAAAAGATGTGGAGAGAAGAGCAACAAAGAGGATTAGGGCACTGGAGGCTAAAACATTTTTATTTTTTTATTTGATCTGTCAATTGCTTACAAGATAATAGGTATAAGTATAAACATAGTTATGAATACATGGATACATATAAGAAAAATAAAAAGAAACAATAGAATAGGGACGGTAGGCGCTTATGCACGCCCCCTACAGACCTCTTAAGGAAAGGGGTGAGGTCCATAGTAGACAGTCTAAGGTTAAAGTTTTTAGGGTTTGAGGAAGAAACCACAGAATCAGGTAGAGTATTCCAGACATTGACCACTCTGTTGCTGGAGTCATATTTCCTGCAATCAAGTTTGGTGCGATTAACCTTGAGTTTGTATCTATTGTTTGTTCTTGTGTTGTTATGGTTGAAGCTGAAGTATTCATTGACAGGTAGGACATTGCAATGTATGATTTTATATACCATACTTAGATCGGACTGAAGACAGCGTAGTTTTAGGTTTCCTAGGTCTAGAATTTCGAATCTGGTGGCATAAGGTATTCTACAACGAGTAGAGGAGTGGAGAACTCTTCTTGTGAAATATTTCTGGACTTTCTCAACTGTGCTAATATCAGATACGTAATGTAGGTTCCAGACTGATGAGCTGTATTCGAGTGTTGGTCTAGCAAATGTTTTGTTTGCTCTAGTTAGTAGTGTAATATTACCAGAGAAAAAGCTACGTAGGGTTAGGTTAACAACTCTTAATGCCTTTTTGGCTATGTAGTTACAGTGGGCTCTAGCACTTAGGTCATTTGAGATGAATACTCCAAAATCCTTGACAGAGTTTGGATCATCAACAACGTATAAAGCACGGTTGATGGAATTGGATATGTCTATTAATGAAAAAGGACTTGGGGTGATATGTTAGCAACTTTCAATATTTGGGAGGCTGCCACCAAGAAGAGGGGGTCGATCTATTCTCCAAAGCACCAGAAGGCAGGACAGGAAGCAACGGGTGGAAACTAACCAAAGGGAGAAGCAACTTAGAACTAAGGTGAAACTTCCTCCTTTTAATAGCCGAATTTAGTCCATTTATGTGTATAGAAATCCGTTTCTTTTCCTCTTCCATTATTTATACTTTATAGGTGGGATTTATTGCTACCTATAGCAATAAGGGATCTTTGTTCTCTTGGTTCTTTAGTTACCAATCGACCACCTACTGCTCCCTCCTCCTGTCTCCTTTCTTCCCTTTCTTCCTTCTCCATTTCCTTTGCCATTTCTGCTCCGATTTTGAGTTCCTCTTCTCTTGCTCTCTCTCGCCCTCTGCTCCTCCGAAGTCTTCATGATAGAATAATTCTGCCTGAGCAGGGGGGTTGGACTAGAAGACCTCCCAAGGTCCCTCCCAGCTCTCTACGCTTGCGAGGGGCGAGTCGTCTGAACCCATCCTAGTTTCACTCCTCGGCGCTGCGGGGGTCCAGCGGACACGTGTCAACACTGCCCCCCCTCCCCCCGTCCCCCAGCCTCGCCGGCTGCCAGCCAAGGCCGCCCTCCGCCCTCCCCCCCCCCCCCCCCCGGCCCCCCCCCCCGGCCCCCCCCCCCCCCCCCCCCACCCCCCCCCGGATCCCCTCCAGCGGCCTCCCTCCCTCCCTCCCCTCCCCTCCCGGCTGGCCCCCGGCCCGGAGGCGGAGCCGCTTCGCCTCGCCCGGACCAGACGCTCGGCCGCTCCCGGCGGCTGCAAGTGGCTTCGTCGGCTGCGGCCATGTGGCTCCCGGGCTGCGACGGGGCAGCGGCCGGCGGGCTCTGGCACCTTCCGCTGCTCCTGCTGCGGCTGGGCGCCTTCTGCGAGCCGGCGGCCGGCCGGGAGGGGCGGCTGCCCAGCGGTGAGTCCGGCCCTCCGGCGGGCGGGCGGGCGGGCGAGCAGAGGCTGGCCGGGGCAGGGCAGAGCGAAGCGCAGAGAGACCGGGGATGGGCAGGCGGCGGTCCTGGCCGGGCTGGAAGCGGGGACCGGCTGCCTGCCTTGAGGAGAGGGTCCGATTAGAAGACCTCTAAGGACCCTTCCAACTCTGGGACTCCGTTCAAAGAGGAAACTTGCAAAAAAAAGAAAAAAAGTCCCGGGGAAAATACGCCCAAAGAAGTCTAGGGTCGCGTTTCCACTTACGGCCGCGCGCGGGGACGGGCCGGGGGGGGGGGGGGGGGGGGGGGCGAAAAGGGGGCACCCCCCCCCCCCCCCCCGCCCGGGGGGGGGGGGGGGCGAGGGGGGGGGGGCGGCCCGGGGGGGGGCGGGGGGGGGCGAACAGCCAGAGGGGGGGGGGGGGGGGAGAAAGGACTCCCCTGTTTTACCTACCAAAGCTGCCTCCGGGCCAGACCCCCCCCTCCCCCAGCCTCCTTAAAGGCAAGGGGAGCGGTGGTCTCTCGGTTGTTGGGTGATGGGCGCCTTTCCAAATCTGGGGTGAGGGGGTCTCAGTTGCCGGAATCTGCCCCAAGCCAATGGCGGGGGCTCTAGCCTCCCTTCTGGCCGCCCAGATGTTGGGGAGGGGGCCAAATTCAGGGCCCCCCCCCGTGACCTGTGGAATCTCGCCGCGCAGGGGATCTCCTGGGCATCCCTGGATTCGGGCAGGGGTCCATTCGGGGTATCAATCAGCCAAAGGACTAAGCCGGATTCGGCAGGGCTTCATAGCTGGGATTCCCGCGGCTCCCTAAGCCTCTTGAGAGGGTGCAATCCGGCCACTTCAACTGGAGCATAGAGGGCTCTTCCTTCCACCCTGGGCTCCGTCCAAGGATCAGAAAGGCCCCTTTGGCTGCTTCATCGTAACCTCATCCTCTGCGGTTTGCTCCGGGCTGGGGTAGGTGGGTGGGTGGGCAGCAAAGCCCCAGGAGGCACCAGTTGTCCACAGCACTTAAGTTGGCACCTCCTGGCTTTTAAGGCTTGCAACGAACTCAGAACAAACGGCAGGATGGCAGGTTGCAAATGGCACTTTTGGACTGCAGGTAGAGCTTTGGAAGAATGCCCACCGCCCTGCAAAAAGGACCACCGCTGAGTTGAGTGGCCGAGACCCTTCAAGAAGGAGGCTGAGAGAGGCTAAGCTTGGTTGGGAGATGGAGGGAGTTTCCTGTCTATCAGCCAGGAATTTGCACCCAGGGCAGCTGTTTTGATTAGGGCACCCAGAAAGGCCCTTCAGCCAACGAGCTCCATCCGGATAGGGTTCCAACACTGGGCCCTTTCTGAAGTTTGCTGCTCAGGGTTGGACCACAAACCTTTCACTGCCAAACAAGCGATTCCTATCAAGATATAATGCAATCAAGGTAAAAATAGCAGCACCAACCCTCTGGAATAGCTTATTTTAATTTTATTTTATGCCTTTCAGAAATGACTGAAAACGAAGCTCTTCCCAATGGCATTTGGAACTTGGTGTTTGGATGTGTGTGTGTGTGTGTGTGGTGTGTGTGTTGCGTGTGTTGTGTGTGTGTGTACTAGGTAGCTAGATGATAGCTAGCTAGCTAGCTAGCTAGATAGATAGCTAGATAGATAGCTAGATAATAGATAGATAGATAGATAGATAGATAGATAGATAGATAGATAGATAGATAGATGATATACAATAGACGATAGATAGATGAAAGATATAGATAGGCGGGCAGGCATATGACAAATATATGTGTGTATGAATTATATATATATATATATATTCAAAAATTGTTTTCACTTCAACCAGAGATATGTTTTAATGACTGTTGTATTCCTGTAAACCAGCAAGAAACTCAAAGGACTGCAGTGAAATATAAATACAATCAACAAACAAAGAGACCAACAAACTTGGTCTGGGAAAAGCTTCATGCCATTGTGTTTATCAGGACAGACTTTGCCCCCACTTTCTCAACAGCTGTGGGTCTCCATCAAAAAATGGGGGGGGGAGGGGCAGTCGGGGGAGTTTAGCTAGCCAATGGTTCTGCTGGGATGACTTATTACATTTAGCATTCTTTTGCCCTTCCGTTCCTCGAAGCTCAGCCTTCTCTAATACAGCGGACTCTGGATGGCTTGGATTGCAGCTCCCACAATCCCCAGGCCTGACCGTGCTGGTTGGAAATGAGGGGAAATGTAGCCCAACGTATCTGAAGGGGGCTGGGGGCATTTAGGGGTATACGACACCATAAATGAGCTTGCTGGGGGAATCGGTGTACTTTCCCAGAATTATCTCCAGAAAGTGATCTAGTGAGATCCCAGAGTGGACAGCGGGTGCGTAGCAGGGACCATCACTGCTTTCGCTGCGTCGCTTTCTGTCTTGCCTAAAAAAATAACTTTACATTTTGCTGATAAAACACAAATGATTTGGCAAGAGGTTGCAAGAACCTGGCTGAGCCAACTCCAAAGAAGCTCTCTCTTTAAGTGACGTGGCTGAGGATGATTTTATTAAGATTACATTCCTTCTGTTGGCCTTCTCTGAAGCTGCCAGAGTCCAATTCTCAGTAAGGGGGAGAGGCCCTTGGAGCACTTTTATGTGATAGCTTTGGGGCTTCAGAACCAGCCCTGGAAATTCTCAGTCCCATAACTTAGGCGTTGTTTAAAAGCTGTTTTAAACTGGAGCAAAAGTAGTCTTTTGGCTGAAAAGCTGGGCTCCCGTTATGGAACTTGTAGGCAATCACTTTCCTCTTTGATAGGAACAAAGATTTAATTAACTAATTAATATGCCACCTATCTCACTATCCAACCCTTGTTTTACTCTGCTTCGGAGCTGTAGTTGTTCTAGCTGGTCTTTAGTTTAGTTTAGTTTACTTTATTGTCATTTGCACCTCCCACAACAAAATCAAGCACCATCTTCAGAGCACATCAATGACCATGAAAATCAACACAAACACACATCCTTCGCCCTCTACACATTGAATTGAAAACCCCCAACATCGCAACAACACTGCACAGTAGAATTCAATAGGGTTACTGTCCTGGGATAGAAGCTGTTTTTCAGCCTCCTTGTTCTTGTTTTTATTATTATCCTGTACCAGCTGCAAGATGGTAATAATTTAAAAAAAAAAGGGTGCCCAGGATGAGATGGATCTTTGAGGATGTTTTGAACTTTCTTAAGGCAGCGGGAGCTCTAAAGCTCTTCCAAAGAGGGGAGAGGGCAACCCAGGATCTTTGGGGCATTCTAAGGGGAAAGGGGGCTTGGTGGCTTGACAACTTCTCCTCGTCCGATCCATTCAGATTCTTATTTCTTAAAATGATGAAATGGATGCAATGTGCAAAATGTGATGACCGAATGGATGCACATTTCTCTTTCTGTCCTGTCTAAAAAGTAACTTTACATTTTGCTAATGAAACTCAAATGGTTTGGCAAGGAATAAACCAACTCCAAAGGAGGTCTCCCTTTAGCAAATGTTGCTGAAGTTAACTTAGCTTAACAATACTTTACTCCTGTTTGCAATCTTCTGCCTGAAATGCTCAAAGTACATCCACCTACCTTCCGTGGGTGAATAGATTCCCAAAGCTGGAATAATCCATTTATGTCTGTTTTAGCAATGTCGGTCCAAAGGAGACTAAACAATGGAGCAGGCGGTGTCTTGGCAATTACGCAAAGGTCACTGAGAAGATCCAGCCACGTAGGGACATCTCATTAAAGCAAACTTGATGATTTATGTTCTTATTTTAAGATTCGAATCAGTTCTTCCTGGCATCAGGCTTTGTTTATTATTTTGGATTGTTCTAATTTGTTGGGTTTCACTTTGCAGGCTGCCCAGTCACTGCCGTAATAGTGGGCGGCCGTATAAACCACGGGAATAAATCGAGCTTTGAAATAAATGGAGGATTGCTGCAAAGAATAGAATGGGATGGGATGGGATGGGATGGAATAGGAATAGGAATAGGAATAGGAATAGGAATAAGAATAGAATAGAATAGAATAGAATAGAATAGAATAGAATAGAATAGAATAGAATAGAATAGAATAGAATAGAATAGAATAGAAGCTGGAAGGGACCTTGGAGAACTTCTAATCCGGCCCCCTCTCAAGCAGGAGAGTAAATCTGAAGACCCTCTCTTGGGTCTCAGTTCAAATTTGAAGTAAACCCAAAGGTGCTTTTTCAGGTGGTAACTGTACTTCCTTGTTTTTCTTTGAAGACGTTTCACTTCTCATCCAAGAAGCTTCTTCAGCTCTGAACTGAATGGTGAAGAACGGAAGGATTTATACTCCTTGCAGAGAGTTGGTCATTTGCATCCTTTTAGAGGGTCCTTGAGGCCACCTGAGTAGCGCAAATGGGAGCCTTGAGAAGTGAAACGTCTCCAAAGAAAAACCAGGAAGTCCAGCTGTCTCTTGAGAAAGGACGTTTTGGACAAGCAGGACCTGGAGGACGGAGAATCTCCATAGATGTTTGAAATAAACATTTTGATCCCACTGCCAAAAATAATAAAGAATAATACGGGCTACCGGTTTCTTCCTATAATATTCAGCCACAAGAGAAGAGAGCAGAGTTGAGAGTATTGCTGTTCCTTTTGTGATGCTGGGAAAAATTCTACATCGTGCAGTTGTGGATGTCAAGAATTCTCTCCCTGTCTTCTCCAGGGATGTCCAATTGGGCAACTTTAAAATGTGTGGACTTCAATTCCCAGAATTCCCCAGCCAGCTGGCTGGGGAATTCTGGGAGTTGAAGTCCACAAGTCCTAAAGTTGCCAAGATTGGACACCCCAAGTCTCCTCCCCAGGGGTGGGATTCAAATTTTTTAACAACCGGTTCTGTGGGCGTGACGTAGATGGTAGGTGTGGCTTGGTGGTCATGTGACTGGGTGGACATGGCTTGGTGGTCATGTTATTGGCTGGGTGTGGCCAATTCAATATCACTCACATCGAGGCACGCATCTCCTTGCCTGGCCTCTCATGACTACGGGGATGCTGCAACAGTCGTAAGTGTGAAAAATGGTCATAAGTCACTTTTTTCAGTGCCATTGTAACTTTGAATGGTCACTCCACACAAGCAAAGTACCAGCAAAGGAGGGGGGGAAAACTCCAGAGAAGTTCCAGAGACAGGAAGTCTAGTCCTGCCAAGAATGTAATAAGGGTTAACAGAGAGGCAGTTTCTGTAAGCAACACCAGAATGTTTCCTTCCTGCCTTCCTTACAGGATTAGGCCAGTAATTTCTTCTAACAACCGGTTCTCCAAACTGCTTAGAATGTTAACAACCGGTTCTAGCGAATAGGTGCGGACTGGTAGAATCCCACCCCTGCTCATGACTGGTCTTGAGGTTGTTTCTCTTCCACAGGAAACACCGTCTGCCTAAGAGGCACGCAACGCCCCTGCTACAAAATTGTTTACTTTCACGAAGTTGCGCGCAGGGTTGGCTTCGAGGAAGCCCTTCAAACCTGCAGAAGGGACGGTGCAGACCTGGTCAGCATCGAATCCCAGTCAGAACAGGAGTTGGTTGAGAAGATGATCCAGAGTTATTCACCCTCCGATGGCGATTTCTGGATTGGTCTCCGGAGAGAAGAAGACCCCGGGAATAGCACCCAATGTCCATCTTTATACACCTGGACCGATGGGAGTTTGTCCACCTTTCGGTAAGCCAGGATGAAGTTTCCCTGAAGAATTTAGCAGGCCAGGCTCATGTCAGCGTTCCTGTTCTGACCAAGGCTTCCAAGATTGTAATTACGCACACACTTATTTTACAAACAAGTCTTGTTTTATTGCAATGCTGAGAATTATTTTCATTCCCAGCTGTAATGAATCTCAAACAGTCCCTCGAGATAAGCACCCACCTTTCTTTCCTGTGAAGTGCTGCCAATAATAGAAGTGTCCAATGAACTAGGAAAAAAATAACTAATACATTTTGACCGATGGTGGCTTGCTGACATTTTCCCAGGGTCTCTGCAGAAAGCAGTAGAGACCCTGGGAAAATCCCCCCCAAAAAAAGTCTGAAGGAAAATTCCCCACCCCATTTTCCTACCGATCGATTGTTCTTTATTTGGGATCGCAGGATACCGTCTCCAGCTCCATTCTCAGGGGGAGAGAGACAGAGAGAGACTTTTGGCTCCATGCAAGGAAAGCAGCAGAAGCCGCAGAAGTCTTTCTTTCTTTCCCCCAAACTCTGCCAGAAATGAGTCTTTGCCGGCACAGCCTCTTGGAGCAGGAGGCCTTGCAGGGTCCCAAAGACTCATTTCTGGCGGAGGTTGGGGGAGAGAAAGAAAGACTTTGGCTGCTTTCCTTGTGTGCAGCCAAAAGCGGAAGAAGAAAGAAGCGGAAAGAAGCAGCCCGGTGGCCAGGCAAGCTCCCCCCCCTCCCCCCTCTCCCCCCTCCCCTCACTACCTCATGTTGTGCACAATGCAAGCTACGCAAACCTTGTGTTCCCGTAGACCATGTGGGCAGTGCAGCCTTGCGTTCCCATGCAGCCTGAATTAATTGCTTTGGGGATGGCATCTCTCTGCGGACACCAAAATTTTCTTGCAGACCACCAGTGGTCCCCGGCCCACTGGCTGGCGACCACTGTGGTAGAATCCCACCCCTGGATTTAGGGATTCAGGGTTAATGTCAGCGTTCCAAGTAACAACATCCAAATTAAAAGACTCCGAGACTGTCATCTTCTCAAAGGTCCATTTTATTAGAGATGTCGTATTGGCACGTGACAACGTTCTTGTCCTTCCTACAGAAACTGGTACATGGACGAGCCCTCCTGTGGGAGTGAGTGGTGCGTGGTGATGTATCACCAGCCATCAGCACCCGCCGGCGACGGAGGACGCTACCTGTTCCAGTGGAACGATGATCGATGCAACATCAAAAACAACTTTATTTGTAAATATTCACAAGGTAACCCGATATCCTTTGTATTTGGGGATGCTCACAATGTTTGTTTGTTTTTTTTCTTGCTGGCACAAATATTGGTAGTCCTTGAGTTACAACCATCTGTTGGATGTGACCATGGCGTTCAGAGTTTGCTTGTGTCAAAATTTTGAAAATTTAAACTCAAGAAAGACACACCGGACTGATCTGAAGGAAAAGCTTGAAGGGACAAAAATCACAACATGATTAAAATCATTTTAGGATAGGATAGGATAGGATAGGATAGGATAGGATAGGAAATAGAACAGAACGGAATGGAATGGAATGGAATGGAATGGAATGGAATGGAATAGAATAGAATAGAATAGAATAGAATAGAATAGGTGATGGTGAACCTTTTTGTTGTGGTGTGCCAAAAGCACAAGTGCATGCGATAGCACATGCACATGCCAGGACCCACAATGCAATGCTCCCCAACCCCTGTGCATGTGCATGCAACACCCCCGCCCCACCCCCTTATCTGTACTGCGCATGCACTGCGCAGGCACATGCCTCCCAGCTGATTTTCAGCCCTTTTGAGGCCGTTTTCGCCTTCCTGGAGGCTTGAGGGAAGCCTCTGCAGCCTTGGGAGGCCGAAAAATGGGCCCGTTTTGGCACTTCACCATAGGTTCGCCAACATGGGAATACAATAATAAGTAGAATAGAATAAAGAATGGAATGGAATGGAATGGAATGGAATGGAATGGAATGGAATGGAATGGAATGGAATAGCAGAGTTGGAAGGGACCTTGGAGGTCTTCTAGTCAACCCCCCACCTAGACAGGAAATCCTACACCACTTCAGACAAATGGTTGTCCAATCTCTTCTTAAGAACTTCCAGTGTTGGAGCATCCACACCTTCTGGAGGCAAGTTGTTCCACTGGTTAATTGTTCTAAGTGTCAGGACTCCAACAAATCCGCCCCCGTTCAAATCTTAAGTCTCTAGCTGCATTTCTCAGAGAAGAGAAAATTGATTTATTAGACCTGGCCATGTTGGCGTTAGCTGGGTGCAGCCAATACTAAAATACATCATTCATTTCCTCCTTGACCCTGGTCTTTCCCCCACCTTCCTGGATGTATATTCTCCAATGGGACACATCCATAGCCAAGAATCATGCTCTCCAGTAACATTCTTGTGCTCTGACAACTTTGGGCTGCCAGGGCAATTATCTAGGCACTTAAGGAATGCACTGTTTCCCCCCCACTCCCTTTCTGCTGGCAGCTAAAAAGACCAAAGGAGTATCTTTTTAGTTGACATGTAATCAAATGTAAGGAAAGCTATAATAAATCCAGACAGCCTACTAAAAAGCAGAGACTTACCCTGCCAACAAACGTGCGTACAGTCAAGATGATGGTTTTCCCAGTTGCAATGTATGGCTGAGAAAGTTGGACCATAAGGAAGGCTGAGCGCCAAAGAATGGAGGTTCTTTGGACTCTGGTGCTGGAGGAGAAGATTCCTGCAAGTCCCTTGGACTGCAAAACGATCCAACTGGTCAGTCCTAGAGGAGATCCACCCTGACTGCTCTTCAGAAGGCCAGATCCTGAAGGTGAAATTCAAAAGACTTTGGCCACCTCATGAGAAGGAAGAAGGACTCCCTGGAGAACAGCCTAATGCTGGGGACGATTGAGGGCCAAAGAAGAAGGAGGGGATGTCAGAGAAGGAGGGGGCTGGATGGAGTCACTGAAGCAGTCGGCGTGAGCTTAAATGGACTCCAGAAGATGGTAGAGGACAGGAAGGCCTGGAGGAACGTTGTCCGTGGGGTTGCAATGGGTCAAACACGACTTCACAACTAACACAACAAATCAAATGTAGGATTTGGGACTTGGTTTTCGGCATACGCTCCCTCTTATGATTGTCTTTCTTCCCTTTGCAGAAAAGCCGACAGTTGTCTCTGAATTGGCTGCTTCTCAGACAGGTAACATTTGGTGTTAGGGAAAGGGGGGGGAGGTTGAGACTTTTGTTGGGAAAACTGCCAAATCTAGCACAAATAACAAAACCATGCAAAAAAAAACCCCAAAAAATTCCCAAAGAAATGGTTAGAGGAGTGTGAGAGAGAGACAATGAGGTATTGTTCTGACCTAAGCTTCCCAAAAGCACAAAGCCTGATAAAAACCCCTTTTATTTAGTGAATTCATCTCCAGCAAAGTCCTGGCCAACAGTCTTTCATGAGATTTCACAACTACAGACAACTTTATCAGGCGTGCAGAGTTGCCAGGCCGATATCTTCCAAATGCCACACTGTAGCAGACAATGCTTGGAAAGAAGTCAGGAACAGATCTTCCCTTTAACGAATTAAACTAATTGTCTCCTGCAAACACCACTCCCCTTTCGCTCCTCTTTATTCCCTGTGGGAGAGGCCATTCACCATCCACCTGTGCCTTTACTCCTGAGTCAATCCTTGTTCCTTAGCTGTTCCCTTCTTCTGGCAGCTCTGCGCATGTGCTCACTGGGAACAGGCTCCAGCTGTTCTTCTGCCCCACTGATATCCGACTCCAAAGGCAGCTGATAACTGTTGGATGGCTCTGGCCCCATCTCTGCCTCCGACGCAGAGCCCTCGTCAGAGCCTTCCCCAGACTCCAGGACTGGCCCATGTTCCTCCCCAACCTCCTCACTGTCCGAATCTGTTGCCAGCTCCACAACAGGTATATTAGGGAGACCTAGATTTGGGCCCACATTTAACCATAGAGCCTAGGAGCCTGCTGGTGACTTCAGAAGACCTCTGCATTCCAGCCAGTCTTCCTCACAGGGTTGTTGTTATTCTTTACGGGGAAAGAAGGAGAGATTCATCCCGTCTCTGGAGTGTCCTCCACCCCCAAAGGAAAGACATGGTTAGCCATTAAATCAGTGTTTCCCAACCTTGTCAACTTTAAGGTGTGTGGACTTCAACTCCCAGAATTCCCCCAGATAGCATGCATGCTGGCTGGGGGAATTCTGGGAGTTGAAGTCCATACATCTTAAAAGTTTGCAAGGTTGAGAAATGTTGTGTTAAATAATAAATAAGTAAAGCGTGCTCTTTTTTAACCCATGACTCTCAATTGCTTTTTTGGAATGTTTGATGTTCACTGATCCTTTTTGAACTGGTTGATCCCAAAATATGGACCCTTCAGCCAAATTTGTGTCTTATCCTAGTCCTGAATCCTCTTCTATCAATCTTAGGGCCTCCTTAATCTTGAATTATCCAGACCAACTATTTACATTATTAAGACAATATCCTTAAGTCGTAACATTCAGGATTTTTTTCCTAGGGTACATAACAGAGTCTTTGGCATTCACATCGCCAGAAACCCCCATGCAGGAGGCTGTAGCTAACAAAACCCTCCCAGAGGCCAGAGGTAAAGAAAACCCATTGCAATTTCTCATAATTTTAATGAAAACAGAGAAAGGATAAGTTGGTAATAAATGCTGCAAAGAAAGTTGGAAGTCGTTTCTTTATGTATCTGTTCTTCTTCCTATTTCTTAACCACGTTTCTTGATTTCTGAATTCACACTTTCCCTTTGATTTAATTTTACTCTATATTATGTCATGTTTACCTTTTGTGAAACCTCCTAATGAAAAAAATACTTTAAAAATGCACTTGCAGTTTCCTTTCTCCAAAGCTGTTTTAACAATACCCTGAATTTCTCGGGGAAGGAATGTCTTTGCCACACCTAAAGAGAATTACCGTATTTCCCCATGTATAAGCCACCCCTTTTTTCCAAAATGTTCAAGCCCAAAAAGTAGGGGGGTGGCATATACAAAGCAGGTACACTTTTTTATACGTGAAAAATGCATAAAATAATAAAGTAGGAATAAACTGGTTTTCCAGCAGTATGCTATACTTTTTTGTAAAAATTGTACGTGATGATACGATTACGAGTGCGAGTACGCGATAGAAATGCATACGCTAGGCATCGGCCTGAATGCTTCGTTCCTACTCTCGTTCCGATGCGTAGATTGCTAGCGTCGTCCGCACCGCTTTCGGCGTCATGACCGAAGTTGTAGATCTAGACGTCGAATTTTGTTTCTTTGTAAATTTTCTTTCTTCATAACTTGTTTCTCTAATAAAATATTTTTTTCAAAACTTCAGTCCAAAAATTGGGGGGGTGGCTTATACAAAGGGGGTGCTTATACATGGGGAAATACGGTAATATACATTGTTCTTTTTGCTTTATACCCTACAGGGAATATCTCCCCACAACCCATAAATAAATGAGGGTGGGGGGGGGGAGTCACAATTCTACTCTGATAAAACTTTGTTCTGAATAACAGATTAAAACTCTTGGTTTCTTTTCTCTCCAGACCCTACTTGGAGCCTTCCGTACATCCTGATTTCAAGCATTCCTGCTTTGCTTCTGTTGATCACCATTGCTTTTTTTATCTTTTGGGTTTACGCAAAGAGGCAAGTGGCATGATTGTATAAGTTGAGAACATTTTTTGAAGGCATCCAGGTGGATTGAGCAGGTTACAAGCAAAGAGGGACAAGAAAGAGAGAGGAGAAGAAATGCCATAGAGACGACACGGTGGTCTGTGCCCAGCTGAGGTGTTTTCCTCATGTTGGCTAAGAAAAGCATCCGGTCCTGAGAGAGAAAAACATATTTTTGAGGTCTTTGAGGAAATAATAGGAGCCCACAAATGAAGGATTGGGAAGGCCACCCCATGAGCCAAGGCATTTTGCTCAAGGAATTTCATCCCTTGAATTCAGACCCCTACAATCCCTATGCTTTAGGGCAGGGCTCTCCAACCTGCTATCTTTATGACTGGTGGATTTCAGCTCCCAGAATTCCTCAGTGAGGAATACTACAGTACTACTACAAGTTTGTAAAGTTGCCCGGGTTGGAGTCCTCTGCTTCAGCAGACATGGGGAAAGGCCTTAAAAGACCGGAAGAAAAGTTGCTACCATGGCAACCATTAGAGAAGCGGGGTTTGAACCCAGGCCAAGAAAAGAACAGGAGAACACAAGGTTTTCTTCCCCAATTCACACAAACTTAAAGTGAAGAAGAGGGACGCGTGTTTGGGCTTGCAAGGTACCTTGCGGGGCTAACACACACTTTCTTTGAACCCAAGAGAGTTTGTCAGTTTACACCCAGTTGAAAGTAAAGTCTTTCCCTACCCCAGAATCACTCTTTACTCCATGAGTTGAGGAGGGGAAGGATTGTATCAGAGTGATTTGCAGATTTAACCTCGCTGCCCACTCACAGGATGGAGACACTGTGAGCAGGAGTCAAAAAAGGAGAAACTTCAGCCTTTCTTGTGACCGGTCATCTTTTGTTGCAACATCTGAGTTATTCTTAAACTAAAACTCTTTGTCTCCCAGCATCTCTGCTATTAAATTTTGGGTGCAATTTGATCTCACAGTAATATTGTCAGGATTCTGGCAGTTCCCCCCATTTAAATCATGAGTCTCGAGCCAAACTTCCAAAACTTCCAAAGGATTTATTGGGAGTTAACATGTCCAGCGCTGCCTGGGTGCAGCCGACTCTGAGACATGTAATTCCTTGCCACCCTTGATCCTGGTTTTCCCCTCACCCCCTGGGTGTATCATAATTCATATTCTCCAATGGGACACAGCCATAGCCAAGAGTCATCAATCGGGCTCTCCAGTTAGAATTTGTGTGGCAGAAACTTCAGTCACCCAGTTACTATCTTTGCAAAACTATTTATGGAATGCACTTTCACTTTCCGAGCTGCCTCACTGCTCTTTGAAACCCTTTTCCCCCCCTCCCTTTCTGTTGGCAACTCTAAAAAGACCATAAAAATATTTTATGAGTCGACAAATACATTAGATTGACCTTATGGCTGAAGCGTATTCTACCTCTGCGGATCACCAACCTATTTTTTAAGAGGGTGTTTTGAAAAGCCTTTTATTGATGTGTTAAGGGAAGAAAAAAGGAAAGTTAAATAAGTGAGTTGCAATTGCCTTATTCTTGCATTTTTTTTTTCACCTTTTCCGATCTATCCTTTGCCCCTGCCAATTTTTCCTGGTGGCCTGCCAGCCAAGTTCTCCCTAAGACTGCCCCTTCTTAAAAAAACAAAAAAAATCATTAAAAAAAAACTATCGGAAAGCAAGGCTGCCCCCTTCTTATCTGTCTGGATCACCCAAACATCCAGCAAAACCATGAAGTTCATCCATGACTAACCCAGGTTTTGAAAGTAGAAGAAAACTCGTAGGAAAATCAGAAGGAACTTAATGTATCTTTCTTTTCTTTTCTTTTCTTTTCTTTTCTTTTCTTTTCTTTTCTTTTCTTTTCTTTTCTTTTCTTTCTTTCTTTCCCTGCCAAGGAGACGGGAGCAGAGAGAAGAGAACACGAAGGAGAAAGACACTTGGTCGTCTACCAAAACGCAAAACAGCCCCAGTTTAGATATATATAATGTGATTAAAACACAAGGGGAGGCCGATCTTGCAAGAACAAGACCACAAACCCAAAACTCCTCTTTCCGTGTCGGTCATGGAGGAGAAGAGCTCTGTGGAGACTATGACAATATGGTGGTGAACAACTCAGAGAGCGGCTTTGTGACCTTGGCAAGCACCGAAAGCGGCTTTGTCACAAATGACATATACGAACTGTGCCACGACCAAGTAGGGCAAAGCAAAGAGTCAGCTTGGGTAGAAAATGAAATTTATGGATATTAAAGAGCTGCTGGGTGAGAGACGGATTAAGGTGGGGAATGTTCCCATTGACACAAACCGTTGCACACAAAGACATGGCTGTGGTATCGCAGAGGGGTTTCCTTCCTCTCCTTGAAAGGGGCCCATGGATTTAAACAAGTTGATTGGTTGATTAGATGTCATCAAGTTGTTTTTAATTCTTAGCATCTACGTTTTCTCCATGAAGATCTGTCCCTAGGCTAGACATTCAGATCTTCCACTGATGAACCCATCATCTCTGTCACTGAGTCTGTCCAGGTTGTCCTGGTCATCTTCATCATCATCTTTAAAGGAGAAGGCAGAGATCTTATTGACCAGGAAATGGTCTTGGGAGAACTTGTTTCCTTTCCTCGTTACAGCCTCCTGATCATCTAGAACCTGACAACATTTTTTGCATTATTATACGCACATCAACTAATTGCTGACATCCAGATGGAATTTGTGAGGTACGGCTAAATATAACGCGGGTTTTGTTTATCGCCACCTGGTTTGGATCAGCTGCCGAGATTCCATCTTTACCTGTTTGTCAATCATAAAAAAATTTCCAGAAAGGAGGGGAATTTCTTTCCGCTCTTCTATTCTTCCACATGGTATTTTTGTAGAATGATCTGAGGACAAAGGAAAGGACATGGTCTAACTACAGTATCTTCCGTATTGATTATAGACATTTCTGTTTTGATTCAGAGCGGGTGCAAGTGATAAGAAACTCCTCTGCAGTTGTGGACAGATCTGTTTCTTGGACGCAGAATACAAATGGGGTAAAGTCGGTGCTAGTTTTAAAAATAAAGATGCCAAAGATAAGTTTCTTTCATATATCAGATGCTTTCTGTCTCGGATGAGACTGGCAAATTTGAGGAACAAGTAATGTGCTTGTGGTTTTAACACACAGTTTCTAATTCTGAAATTACGTCCAGATTTACCTTGTTGAAAGACAACCTACTGTTCTTAGAAAAAAATAAAAGCAAACAAGCAATGCATTATTTGAGGTCATACGCAAATTTTGATATCCTTACGCTTGTGCTATTCATCTCAAAATATCAACTCCTTCTGTGGCTCTCCCTGCAGAGAAGCAGCAAGAAAAGACAGAAATATTTTATGGTGCCTTCCTTTGTTATTTGATGTGTGACAGTTGAAAGTGGGGCGGGGGACTTTTAACATATTTTTTTTAACAAGCCAGTGTGATGTTCTGTGCATGTGTTACTCTACAACATTTCGAAAGCTTTTGATACGTGCATGTGATGTCATCTTACATTGTCATGGACTGAGAGGTTTCATTCTGGTGTTGAATGCATGAAGCCTGTTGCCATGGCAGTTGAGTTGCTGTGATGTTGTGGAATGTTTGTGAGAACCTCTGAAGGACCAAAACGTCTAGCTTGATTGGAACTTTTCCTTGTGTTTTCCCTTCTGAGTGGAAACAGCAAAGCTAAACTTTTGGGAGAAAGTCCCAAAGGTTGGAGAGGAGAGGAGAAAACTCCGAGAAACAGCAATGGCCTGGGGAAACTCCTGATGGGACCTTGATGCTCAGTGAGATTCAGATCACTCAAGGATTACGCAACATTGCGGGATGAAAAAGTCACCCCACGGGAAAAAATGAGAAAGTTGATTTTGAAGACTCATGGTTGGACATGATCTTCTGATACCGCATGACTGGCCAACGTGTAATTGCTCCTCTTGGCTTCCTCTACTAAACAAGCAAAGAGGTGTCCCATGTTATGACTCTCAGTCATGAGAACTGCCAAAGAATGACTACATCAGGCCAAATGAGGTGAGGCACACAGCTTGTGGTTGCCTAATGCCTGGGGCATGTCGGGATGAGCCTGAGGAGCCTTACTCACAGTCTCATGGCATGACTGACAGACATCCAAGCATCTGTGGGTAAAAAAAGCCACAGGTAATTTGCACGGTTTTCATTTCAATCCGGGTGTTTTTCCTGCACTTCGGTATTGCTTTACTGCCATGTTTTCTCTTATGCATGTCTGAATGAAATGTTGGACTCTCTTGAGCAAAGAAATAAACGTCTTTGGTTGCAGAGCAACAACAGATTAAAATTATAGGGTTCTCTTTTTTTGCACTGGGTCTTTCTCAGTGGTCTCTCTCGATCTTGCCTTTCGGAGTATCTTCAGCAGAATTTATCAGCTTCCTACACTGAGGAGCATAAATGGTAGTAACTCATAACCTAATGTTGGAATCAGCAGTGTGCATGTTAATCCTAGGTTAGCCAAAAGCAACGGTATTAAGGATTCCCATTAGCAGTAGCTGGAGTGATAATGAACAATAGATGGTAGTAGAGAAATCAGTCTGCCTACTATCTTATGATACGTCCTTCATTCAGCAGTTAAGTGCAATTCTTTTCTTGCTAGGTGTTTTATGTAAAGCAATTCATGTTCACCAATATTTGCTCAAGAGGAAATAATTTCCTCATTTGTGGAATTTGGGCCTGCAAAAAGTTTCCTGTATTATTATAAGAAGTTCCTACATCAGTCAGTGAGAGCTAGGCAGCTAAAGAGACTATGGAAAATGTACAGCAGCGAATTGTGGTAATATACAGATTTATTGGCAGGTTTCATAACCCCAGATCTTACTTCCATTTTGTGAGAAAAAGAGCTAAAGCACAGGATCAAAGTAAAATATTGTATCCTAAACACCTGAAAGCCAAGATGTACACCAAAACCTGTGGAAGAAAGGGAAATATATGGATGGATTTCCATCCATACGTTTCAAATCATTGGGTTCAACAATTCAATATTTGACATCAATCAATCCCATTTGGAAGTCAGTTCAGTGCAAAGACTCAGATAAATGATGCCTCTGTCTGGAATTTTTGCATGACCCAAGAAACAATCATATGTTGTGGGTGTGAACTGTAAAAATGCAGGCCACTGATGATGGTGTTGCTTTGCCAACAGAAATAATTAACCTGGTCAGTTTTCTACACAGATTACAGCTGTTGTGCTCTTTATCAAATGCCACTTTTTAATGCATCTTTTCACATCATCTATGACAGGTTCTCCCAGGAAGCAACTTACCGTGGGAAATGTGTATTGATCCCCTAAGTGCTAAGTTTTCTGGAAAGTGGTGACAATATGTGAGGGAGACGGGATTAGGAGATGGAGAAATGTTTGCAAAGCAAGCTAGACTCTGGGTGCCCAATTTCAGTGGATTCCCGTCTTTATCGGTTATATTTTCTGCAAAGCCGTTGGAGGAGTTGCTGGAGTTTTTCACAGCTGCTCGTTCTCAGTTGCTTCCCTTTTCTAAGCTAGTCCAGAATCATCTGTTGTTGATTTAGGAGAAAGAGGAAATGAGCTTGGGGGGAAAAAAGGCCTGGCTCCAACCTTTTCACATCTTACCGATCACTGTCACGACCATGGGATGACCACATTTTTGAATGATGCTGTTTGATGGGGTGGCCCATGCAAAGATCCAAGTCAGCTTTCACACAGACCCAATTTTTAAGTTGCAATCAGGTGCAAGAAGCAGCAAAACGAGGGCATGAAACTGGTGCTTTAAACACTGAAGCAGGGTGACGGTGTCAGCTGGACATGAAGAGGGTTTCCAAGTTTGGAACAAGACAAAAGAACGGATGTGCATGCGCCAAGATCAGCGCATGCTTGCCAATTCGGCGTTAATTTTATCTGTGGTTTATATTTGTTCTTTGCAAGGCAGTTGTGGTGGGGGGATACCAAAGCCCTTGGTTCATCTGGTAAAAGGTCGGTGTTTGATTTTTGGAGTTGGATAGGAGTACAATTTGGGTGAAATTTCTCAGAAAATAAGAAGGTTCATGCCAGTCTCCAAGACGTTCCCTTTGTCGAGACCTCTCTGAACTGTTGAAGAGTAAAGAATTTAAATGGAGGTTAAAAATAGGACATTTTTGAGAGGTTGGGTTTTTTTAACAACATCCTAAAAGGTCCTGGAAAAGAAACATGTAGCACTAGAGGGCGCCTTTAATTTTGTACTTAATATAGCTGCAACCTGCATTTCCTAAATAGATGGCAGACTCTCGACTGGAAAAAGTTTTCATTAAAACCCAATTGGAAAAGCAGCTGTGGCCTTTTATATATACTTTCTTTCCTTTCAAAGGTACCCTGGACATAATTAAAGACTGTTGATTTGGTGGACTGCCCTGTCTTCCCAAGGAGGGCAGCAACTATGGTGTCTAAGACACTTGATGATAGGTGTGATGTTTTGATCCCTGATTTTAATCAATAGTTAAATTTTTTTAAAAGGCATTGACTTAAATGAGATGCTTCTTTTAAAAGGTATGTGTGTGTTATAGCTCCAGAACAAACTTCAGTTTGGAATTTTTCAGAAGAGTTTGGTAGCATGAAAGAATAATTACAGATTGTCCCATTTTGGTCACCACACTATAAAAAGGATGTTGAGAAGAGCAGAGAAGAGCAACCAAGATTATTAGGGGAGGCTAAAACATACGATTAATGGTTGCAGGCACTGGGCATGGCTAGTCTAGTGAAGAGAAGGATCAGGGGAGACATGATAACTGTCTTCCAATATTTGAGGGGCTGCCCCAGAGAGGAGGAAGGGGTCAAGCAATTTTCTAAAGCACCCGAAGGCCAGAGAAGGAATAATGGGTGGAAACTGAACAAGGAGAGATTCAACCTGGAAATAAGGAGAAATTTTCTGAAAATGAGAGCAATCAATCAATGGAACAGAAGTTGCCTTCAGAAGTTGTGGGAGCTTCATCCCTGGAAGCTTTCAAGAAGAGACTGGACTGCCATCTGTCAGAAACGGTGTAGAGCCTCCTGCTTGGGCGGAGGGTTGGACTAGATGACCTACAAGATCCCTTCCCACTCTGTTAATCTGTATCTATATGTACATTCATGCTAATTATACAGCTCAGATCAGGGCCTTGAATGAGCGAACTACTCTGGCCTTTTCTTTTTTCCAGGAGAAGGAATAATGAATGGGTTTATGAATAGACTGGTAGGGTATCATTGTCTGGCAGAACTATTCTTAGCTGCTTCTTGGTTGCATCCAGCATCTCTGGGGGAGAATGCTGACTAATCCTACCCTGCAGTTGCTCATTCACCGGAACTTTCTAAAATAGCTAAATCAGGAAGGCAATAAAACAACCGGTAAGCATAACGGAATAAGTCATCATTGGCAGAAATGCAAACAGCATCTCACCAGCTCTGCATGGTCTGGAGAACTGTAGGTAGAGAAGGATCCAGAACGTATTTTCATTGTAACGTGGGTATCCTGGACATGGAAACCGAGGTACGTGCAACCAGGTATAAAATTAGGAAAGGGAAGGTCGAAAGGGAGCTATTTTGCTTTTGCTCCGAAGTAGGTATAGGTTGGCCTTGACTTATGACAACAATTCAGCCCCAAATTTCTGCTCGTCAGTGAAAGATTTGAGTTTTGTCCCATTTTATGACCTAACGTGCCTCAGTTGTTAAGTGGATCACTGGAGTGGATAAGTTAGTAACCCAGTTTGTTAAGTAAACCTGGTTTCCCCATTGACTTTGCTTGTCACAAGGTCGCAAAAGGGGATCATGTGACTTTGGGAAACAGCAACGGTCGTAAGTATGAACCGGTTTCCAAGCATCTGAATTTTGATCGCATTGTGGGAAGCCCGCCCCCGCGAAGAATGCAATATTTTGAGGAATATTAAAAGAGGTAGAGTGTTATATTTCCCCAAAGGAGAAATGGAGAAACATGCTCCAGCCCCAGTTTCCTGCATAGTAAAAGAAATCTCAGCCAATCTATTCATAAATGAAACATCTTCAGTTCCAGGATGATGGGATTAAGAAGGACAGGACATGATCTTTAAGGTCGGGACATAATAGGATTAACCCATCACCATTTAGACACAAAAGCCCCTTTATTGCACAATCCCCAGAACAGTCCAAAGTCACAAACCTATAAAGATCCATCCACTCCTTCCACCGTTTGGTCAGCTGTCCCAGGACTGCTG